TAATTAGTATTTTGCAAGTGAAGAAACTGATCACCCGAACTCATTCAACCCACCACCCATCCCGGAACCATGAGCCTACTATAGGCAAAGTGATATACTCAGGACTGAAGTTGTACAAAGGATATAAGAGCATCATGTTCATGTAGGCACAGATTACAGAGGACAGCACTGTTCATTTTATATTATAAAGTACTCGGAAGTGTTTAGGCCTACACTTAATTATTCATTGTTCATGTATAGAAGCATTAATGTGAATGGCTAGTTGCTTCAATGTCCCTGGGAGTTCCTTTCTTTTACAGCCCTCCATTTATCCACACGAATTGGCTGAACTACGATGTACAGGGCTTGGCTGCACAGGGGATACAAGCAGACCTGAGTCCCAATATCTACCCCTGACCTGAAGAAATAAAACAAATATGGTATAAGGGAGGCCAGCACATACAATAAGCCTATATAAATATTACACGATATATTACGTGCTAGAAGTACATAAAAACAAGCCAAAATACATGATAGGTTTTCAGGGGTGGACTTGGATTTTCCTTGTGCCTAAGCTGAGCCTGAAATAACAGTAGATTCTTAAAAGCTGAAATAGCCACTAAAAATCTGGAAAAGACCATGCTTAAGAAATATGTCAACTAAGCATTTTCTAACAAATAGAAAAATCACTTATATAAAAAGTAAATTTTAGAGGCCAGCAGGTGGCATGGTGCTTAAGGTGATGGACTGCCATATGGCTGAACACAATCTGAGTCCCAGACCTGGTGGCTTGCTTCCTCCCTTTCTCTCTCTCTCACTCTATGGTGAGCACATGTACTCTGTAACAAATTTTAAAATAATAATAATAATGATAAATAAAACTAAATAACTATTAAAGAAAGTAAACTTAGGTTCATCTTGGCTAGCATGTAAAAAATATTTTGATATTTTGATTAGTAATAAGATTATGAAAGTGACTATTAAAAGGATTTACACCTGCTATTCTGAGCTTCCAACTCTCAGCCATCACTTGGCTAAGAAAAATGGCCAGAGGTAGTTGGCAAGGCTATTAACTATGAAGATATTTATGGCTATCACAGTCTTATAAAAAACCTAAAGCTTTATTCAGTGTTTGTATTAAATATGTAAATAAATAAATAAATAAACTTTAAACTTTTAAACTTTAAAGTTTGTTTGTTTTAATTTGACCAGAAAAGGATACAAAGAGAGAGAGGGAAAGTGAGAAAGCAAGCCACTAGGTCCAGGACACAACTCATGGTCGGCCATGTAAGAGTCTAGTGTCCTTAACCACCATGCCTCCTGCTGGCCCGTGGACTTTTCTATTTTTTTTAGGCTAAATTGTTAGAACAGATTAATAAAGGGATTTTTTTTGTGAAAACATAAATTAAGGTTTTCAGCATGCCAACCAAATTCCTTACAGATCCAAACCTCCCATAAATAACAACTATAAATCTTGGGTAGACAAACCATCAAACAAAAAACAAGCTTTAGAGGCAGCCCAGGTGACTGTGCAGTAGAATCTTATAAGGTTTTAATTTAACCTACCTCTTGATAACATGATCACACATGAGGACTTCACGAAGTTTGTAGAAAAACAGAATTAATGTCTGGGTTTATTTTGGTACAAAAATGTGATATTCACATATAATTTTTTTCACATTAATGAATTTTTGAAGGATTTAAAACATTTTTTTGCTATAAGGCACACACTCTCATCAGAGAGACAGAGAAAGAGAGACAGACAGAGAAAGTGAGAAAGCACTCCCTAGGAGGGACGCTCATGCCACAGTCCCTTCTCTATTCTCTTTTCCCCATTTTAGGCACACATGCACATGTGCCTGGAATTTTTGTTTTGTTTTGTTTTGTTTTGTTTGTTTGTTTTTTTGCTATAGGGCGCATGTGCTCACCGGAAAGACAGAGAGAGACAGTGAGACAGAAAGCAAGAAATCACCCTCCAGGGGGGATGACCACACCACAATCCCTTCTCCTCCATTCTCCTCTCAGGATCTTGGGCACACACACACACGCAACGGGCGTGAGTTTAAGTCACCGGGTCCAGGACTCAAACTGCAGTCGACTACATGGGAACCCAGCGACATAGCCATTACGCTAACTACTGGTCCCGTGCCTGGAATGTTTTTCAAGTCACTGGCTCGAGGACTTGAACCACGCAGTCAGCCATGTGGGATCTACCCGCCTTAACCACCACACCACCAGCTGGTCCTGATAAACTTTTTGAAAATTCCACATGTATCAGAATATTACAGCATCATTTGTAAACTTCATAGTTTGCTTTTGTTTTATTAAAGGCCTTCTTTTTCACATATTCTTCTTATCATTCAACCATGTATTTATTTGACAGGTTCTTATCAAATATCTTCTATGCATTAATGCTGTCACTGGAAGTAGAGTTGGTTGGCTGGACTCAAGCAGAACCTTACATCTGAACTTGACAGAATTTTATCTTGTTCTATTCTAATAAAAAAAGTGGTTATTCAAATTGTGAAACAGTCAAACAACAGGGTACCAGTGAGCAATAAAAAGGAATGAACTACTAATATATACAACAACATGGTTGAACCTCAAGACCATTATGCTGAAGTCTTAAAAAAAAAATACGTGGGGCCATCTTGTGCCCTAGTGACTAAAGTATTGGATTCTACATGCCTGGCCATGTGGTTCAAGTCCCAGACCCAGCTCCTTGAGAAATATGCCGGGTGCATGTACACGCATGCCCAAAAATCCCAAAAGGAGGGAGAAACAGAGAAGAGACTGTGGCATGACCATGTATGTACCAAGGAGGACGGTTTCTTACTTTGCCCTTCTTTCTCTCTGTCTCCATCTCTTTCTTCTTTTTTTTTTTTTGGAGAGGTTTTCGCTATAGGGCGCGTGCGCTCGCCAGACAGACAGAGAGAGACATAGAGGCAGAAAGCGAGAAATCACCCCCCAGGGGGATGGTCACGCCGCAATCCCTTCTCCTCCGTTCTCCTCTCAGGATTTTGGCCACGCACGCACATGCGACCGGCGTGAGTTTTAAGCCACCGGGTCCGGGACATGAACCGCGGTCGATTACGTGGGAGTCCAGCGACATAGCCATTATGCTAACTGCTGGTTCCCTGTCTCCATCTCTTTCTGATAAGCAGTCATCCTCTGGTAAAATAAAAAAAAAAAAAAAAAAAAAAAAAGATTACTTTCATATGAAACTGCTGAAGATAATAATGTAATCTGTGGTGGGAATAAACAAAACACCGGTTGCCTCTGGTTATAGGCCACTGACTGAGAAGGGGCATGAGGAACTTCCTGCATATCTGATGGGGTCTGGGTTAAACAGATGTATGTGTTTCTCAAAATTCAGTACAAGTACACTTAAAATTCATGTTCTATTGCATGCAAATTTTACCTTAAAGAAAAAAGTAAGAAAATATTGAACTCTAGACAATAATATGCATATTACTTAGAAGGGAGTGTACTGATGGCGCAATTTGCTTTGAAATACATCAAAGATAATATAAAATAGTGGCACAGAGACACAGATAAAGATGTTATATAGCAAATACACTGAAATTCCTTATAATTGCAAAGGGTGCATGTGCTCACAGAGACAGATGGAGGAGGGGAAAGCACTCCCCCAATTTGCTCACACTGCAATCCCTCCTCTTCCGTTTCTTCATCTTTATGGGATTTGTGCCACGTATGCACATATGCCTGGTGTGCTTCTTTCTTAGGTTTTACTTTATTTACTTATTTTGTCATAGGGCATTAGAGAGAAATAGAGAAATAGTGAGAAATAGTGAGAAATAGTGAATGATTTTCTGAGAAATTACCCCCTGAAAGGAGAGGACCACACAACAGTCCCTTCTCTTCCATCCTCCTAAGATCTTGGGCACATACACACATGTGCCAGGCATGATTTTCAAGCCTCCATGTCTGGAACTCAAATCGCTGTTGGCCATGTCAAAGTCCAGTGCATTAACCACCACACCACCTGCTGGCCTCCCTGGTGTGTTTTTCAAACTGCTAAGGTTGAGATTCAAACTGTAATTGGCAATGGAGGATCCAACTCCCTTAACCAATAGGCTATGGGGCTAGCACTACAATGAAATATTGATGGCAAAATCTAGGAGTGGCTACATGACTGTCCACTGTAAAATTCACTCAACTATAAAAATTTTCATAATAAATTAGTTACAGACAAATTTTTAAAAAGAAAGATTTAAAAAGAAAGAAACAACTAGATTAATTCGGAGCAAGTCCTATCAGACTAATATCATTTCCTTTTTATGTTATCAGAGTTACTACTAAACTGGTAGATCAGAGAAAGATAAGTGACAACATATTTGAGTCTTCGTAAATCTGAATTTTTCTTCACATGTGATCAAGGTTAAAAAAACAGGCTTCATAATTAATAATGGGAATAGATATTTTCTGTGGTGTATAAAACTCTTTACTAGATATTTACCTAGCACTTTACCTATACTAACCATTTGCTTTCCGTAACAACCCTATGCGGTAAAGACTGTTACTATCCACATTTCACAGATAGGGTAACTAAAGGATAACTACTGATATGGAAGGTAAGTGCTCAAAGTTACAGAAGCCAAGCCAGAAATGGGAATCCAGAGAGTCCAGGTCCAGAACCCCTGCTCTTAACCATTTCGCTACGATAGCTCTGTTAGCGAACTTGTAACTGACATAAACGTAGAACGCATTACCTACTCAAGTCTGTGTAACATGAAACCAGAAGCAAGAGCAAACACTACTCTACAGATGCCCAGTGAACAAAGTCGAATCGAAAATGGAGTAAACTTACATGAAACAAAATATGCCAAAAGTTCATTAACAATGGTTGGTTGCCTCTAAATAAGCTTATAAGTTTATTTTTTCCTCCTCCTTGTTGTACTAAACTTTAAAAACTGATCAATTAATAAGCTTTACAGTTTCTTCCAGTTATTAACATAAATATTTAAGAACTATGAACCTGCCATATAGTGCCAGTTTACCTGTTGCAATAATATACAGCATTATTTGGATCCAGTTCTATTGCCTGTGTGTAACAATCCACTGCAGCAGCATAATTTTCTTCTTTCATGTGGTTATTGCCTAAAACAAAATAATTAAGATGTATGGTAAATATATGCCCAGGAAAAGTCTGATGGATAAATATTAATCATAGAAACTAATTTTTTCTTTTAAAGAATTCTTTAATTTTATTTATTCATTCAGTTATTTTAATTTTACCAGAGAAAGATAGACACACAGAGAGAAGGAAAGTGAGAAAGCAAGCTACCAGGTCTGCGACTCGAACCGTGGCTGGCCATGTGGGAATGTCCAGTGCCTTAACTACCATGCCACCTGGTGGCCCAATCATAGAAACTAAATTTTAATCACAGAAACTACAATAGTATGAAGGTGTTATATGACGTCAGTCATACTAGAAATACATTTTACATATAGAATTCACACTTTTTGGCTTTCAGTGTCCTTGAATAATTTTTTTTCCTTTAGAGGTTTTTGCTGTAGGGTGCATGTGCTTGCCAGAGCAATAGAGAGAGACAAAGAGACAGAAAGTGAGAAATCACCCCTGCAGTGGGTCTTTGGGGCATGCACGCATACACACCCTGCATGAGTTTCAAGCCCCCAAGTCTGGTCTCAAACCACAATTGGCCAAGTGGGAGTCCAGTGACATAACTATTTTGCCATCTGCTAAATAATTTTAGCAATGCAGTCATAAACATTTACTGTTCAGTATACCTTATGAAATCCAGACCTAAGTGAGTACATGCCACAATTATGACTTTCTCATGGCAAACCTCAGTCTCTTCTCACCTTACCTTCATCTCTCACCTCTTTTAGATCTTCCCCACCCTTTCCAGATGTGACACCTACCCTAATCACCATCTCAATTGGAACCTTATCTTCCACTCCTCCCCTGTAAAAAACACACATCTGCTGAATAACCAAGCTCTCAGAACTCTGCTATGGATGAGGTGGTAAAACTAATCACACTAACAGGTTATTACCAGATAATATTTTTATGTGCTATCCCTTTCAGAGATAAAGTTTTGTTAAAAGGGAATTTGAGGAGATTAATTTCTAGAAAGACAGAATTTCAGATACCATGGCTAACAAACAGAGTACTGATTTTCAGGAAGGGCATCCATAAATACATCTGGCAATAACTTAGCTAGGTTAAGCTGATCAGCAAAACAAGAGGTTTCCTGTGGCTATTTTCTATATTCCATTAAATGGAGAGAAAAAGTGTCTTGTGCATAAGCACTAATGTTCAAAATTGAAAATATTAGAACTGGGATTAAAAGGAAGGATATACCTGGGGGACCAGCAGGTGGCGTGGTGGTTGAAGCGCTGGATATGCCCACATGGCCGACTACGGTCCATATATTGGACCTAGTAGCTTGCTTTCTCACTTTCCCTCTCTCTCTCTGTGTCTCTCTCTGGTCAAATTTTTTAAAAAAATAAATGAATTAATAAATAAAACTAAATAAATAATTCTTTAAAAAAAAAAAGAAAAGGAAGGATATACCTGTCAAAGGACTTTATGAGTCCCTTTCAACTTTCCCTAAACCAGCAACTTTCCTTGTTCTTAATAATCATTAGCTACGTAATGGCAAGAGAGGGGTATACATTTGTAGGGAACAGGAACAAGAAAATTAAAAGGAGAGGCTGGTAGATAAAAGCATCCAAAATCATACGAAAGTTATTGCAAATTAGGAATCAGAAATGAATATTAACAGTGACTGCTGATGGTACATAGTTTCCTTCTGGGGCAATAAACATGTTCTCTAACTGACTACGATAATAGCTGAGCAACTCCATGAATATACTAAAAACGAGTTTATTGTACATTTTCAAGGAATAAACTGCATGGTACATGAATTATATCTCAATAAATCTTTTTAAAATAATTGTTTTGATCCCACCCCTCCCAATAAATTAATATAAAGCCTCTAAAAAAGCTGAGAGGATAATACAGCTTTTTATGATTATGCACAAAGTTAACTACATTATCCCAGCTACTTGAATAGATTTCCTTGTCACAGATTTTATTTTTCTGGGTTACTAAGATTTTGCTGTTGCTGTAGGACATTTTTGTCTTGGGGTGGCATTTTATTATTACTACTATAACTAAAACTGTATTGTAGGGGGCTGGCAAGTGGTGTGGTGGTTAGGGTGCTGGACTCCCACAAGGCTGAACACAGTTTGGGTCCCAGACCTGGTGAGTTACTTTCTCACTTTCCCTTTCTCTCTCTATGGTCAAATTAAAAAAATAATAATAATAATAAATAAAATTAAGTAAAAAATTATTTTATTATTTTTTTTTTTAGAGAAAGATTTTTGCTATAGGATGCATGTGTTTGCCAGAGAGACAAAGTAAGAAATCATCCCCTCTGGGGGGATGGCCATGCCTCACTCCGTTTTCCTCTATTCTCCTTTTGGGATTTTGGGCACACGCACACATGGGCCTGGCATGAGTTTCAGGCCACCAGGTCAGGGACTCCGGCCATGGTTGGCCACGAGAGAGTCCAGTGATGTAACCATTATACCATCTGCTGGTCCCTAAATAAATAATTCTTAAAAAAAAAAAAAAGAAAATAAAAAGAAACTTGATCTATGTCTTTTCCTGTAAGCCACCTCAAATATGTGTGTGTGTGTGTGTGTGTATATATATATAAATAAAACTAAATAAATAATTCTTTAAAAAAAAAAGAAAAGAAAGGTAATCCCGGCAAAGGGCTTTTAAGGAAGGATATACCTGTCAAAGGACTTTATGAGTCCCTTTCAACTTTCCCTAAACCAGCAACTTTGTATATATATATACACACACACACACACACCACAAATTATGCATATTATGCATATTATAATGTAAGTTAATAAGCTTAAAGTCATAAAATATTCACTATGTAAAAAATCAGAACACAAATGAAGAAATGTGTGAAGAGAAGATATAATAATGAAGCCCTTGTACGGTCTATTAATGGCTACATGGTACTCTCCTATATGTTGGTCCCCTTTAACTCTCACAACCCTTTGAGATATACCTATACTTTTATGATCTGCTTTTTTCTGACCTTACTGCACTTCTTCAGAAGTAAGACTTCTGAAATACTTGAAAGCAATGTTCTAGGAAGGTATGAGTTGGCTAGAAGTCCTAATCGACACAGTCAGATAAGTGCAACAGGTAGCCCTGAATAACTCAACTTTTGCACTCTAGCATGGGCATGTTTCCACGCAAATGGCAAAATCTGGAGAAAATGACAATCACTTAAACTTTATATGTCTCATATCTTAGATGTGATATGCCTTAGTGGAAATAATAAATAAAAGCTTGTGGTTAAAAGCAAAGGCAGAAGGTAATCTAACCTACCCATCTTGCTATAGGAAATGAATCTCACCCTACATGTCTCCCTAACCTTTGTCTTACTAACATTCATTATGTCGAAACACAGGGAATGCAATTTTCCAATGTTCTGCCATGTAGAGGGAGTAAACCTGAGGGACAAATAGGAAATTTTAATCTTCCATTTATTCTACATTGTTACTTGAGTTAAACCAAGAAAGCTGCAAAAGTAAAATGTTAGTATGTGGATAATATACTGGTTTGTTTTTTTTTTCTTTTTTTGGAGAGGTTTTTGCTATAGGGCGCATGTGCTCACCAGACAGACAGAGAAGACAGAGAGACAGAAAGCAAGAAATCATCCCCAGGGGGGATGGCCATGCCGCAATCCCTTCTCCTCCATTCTCCTCTCGGAATCTTGGGCACGCATGCACACGCACCCAGCGTGACTTTAAGCCACCGGGTCCGGGACTCGAACCGTGGCCGACTACGTGGGAGTCCAGTGACAGTATATTATCCCGGGACCAGCAGTTAGCGCCCTAGAGTAAAAACCTCTCCAAAAAAAAATATAGATTTGACATCATAAAAATCTAGGTGGGGAAAAAAAATCAAATTAAACTTTTAATTAGGAACTAACATGTGAAAAGAATATATGAATATCTGAGTAATTTAAATATAAATGCTCTGGGAATATGCAGATACTTAATAAAGTTCATGGAAGGGACTAGAAAATGGAGTGATGGTTACATCGCTGGACTGCCATGTAGTTGAGAGGTTTCAGTCCCAGAACTGGCGGCTTAAAACTCACACCAGGCATGTGTGTGTGCATGACCAAAAGCCTGAGAGGAAGATTTCTTGCTTTCTGTCTCTTTGGTGATCACAGGCAGCTATAGCAAAAATATCTCTCAAAAAAAAAAAAAAGGTTATGGAAACAGTGGAATAAACGTACAAAACTATTATTTATACTAATAGTTATATGGTACTCTCCTATAAGATGGTCTCCTTTAACTCTTACAACCCTAGGAGATATACCCATACTTTTGTGATCAAAAACGTTTGAAGTGTATGCATAGATTTTTCATCCTGTGTGAGGTTTTTGCCTTGGGGCACATGCACTCACAGGACAGAGAGAGAGGGACAGAGACAGTGAGAGGAAAAGTGAGAAATCACCACCCAGCGGGATGGCCATGCCACAATCCCTTCTCCTCCCAGGATTGTGGGCATGCATGCATACACACTGGGGAATGTGTATTCAAGCCATAGGGTCTGGGACTCGAACCACAGTTGGCCATGTGGGAGTCCAGCAACATAACTGCTACACCATCTGCTGGCACTTCCATAAGCTTTTTGAAAACTCTGACCAATAAATCTGTATAACTTGGATGACAAAGGGGATGTGGTTATTTCATTAATTTGCATGTAACTGATGAAAGTCATGCTATTCTTTTATTTTTCCCCCACATTTTATTGATTCACAAAATACCTTAAACTAAAACTATGGACAAAGCTAGAATCTAGTTACAAACGTAATGTAATTTTCTTCTGAAACATTTTTAATTAATTAATTTACATTCATTCTCTGAGCATTGTCACAGCATACAAAATGTGATTTCCCATCCAAAATATACTGCAAGGAGATGTATCTACAAGAGGGAACATTATTTGACAATAAAACATGATGTGCACATGCGCACGCATGGGCTTCTGTGTGTGTGTGTGTGTGTGTGTGTGTGTGTGTGTGTGTATTTTTTTTTTTAACCCCTACTTCTCACCCTCTGTCATTTCCCACCCTCCTCCCACACTATCTTAGGTGTCTACAGTTGTTTTCCATTCCTTTTTCCCCCACATTTTATTGATTCACAAAATTCCTTAAGTAATTTAACTACTTTCAATAGCACGTTTAGCTGGTATGTACATATCAGTGAATACCTGTCTGACTTTAGGCGTGAAAGTCTTAGAATGAATATACTATAAGGTGGCACCTAGCTGATGCTATAAATCTTACTATGGTCATTAAACAGGTATTTTTTAATATATTTTTTAATCTCAAGAAAAGCAGTTTTATCTTTAATAAATCAAAGAAATGCTAAAGAACTTTACTTAAAACTTAAAGCCAGGAAACAAGTTAGGATTCTGTTCAAATAGTAGGTACATGAACCTACTGGCAGCTCAAGACAGGACAAAAATCCTTAACACTGGAAAACAAAGTCTAGAAGAAAATCAAGAATGTTTTAGTCAAAAGTCATAAAATGCTATTTCAGAACTGGTGAAATAGTATTTTATGACTTTTGACAAAAGTCATGTTATTCTAAGATATTAAGACATGGTGAGAATATCATTTTGTGAAAGAAATTTTAAAATAGAAAACTGAGTCCATTCTATTTACTGGAAACGAAGTACTTTTATAATACTGGGTTGTCGAAAAAGTCATGACATATTTTTCTATGCAAAGACATCATGACTTTTCCAATGACCCAATATAATTCTAAGAAGATAATCACAAAATAGTGAGAAGAAGTATAGACAAAGGTACCAAAGACAGTGTTTCTTGGGATTACAAAATAATCTGTCTAGGTAAGCAAGTTGAGGTCAAACCGTTCCATGTAACATTACACAATCATTCAAAACAGTGACATGCATGCATACTTACAGAACTAGAAAGATGACCAAGTCCAAGGATGAGGAAAAGCATACTCTTTCC